AATGGCGCTCGTGCATCAAAGCTATTGCCTTCAATGCATAGCTCCTTTTCCAGCTCCCCACTTGACAGCCCACTGACAGTGCTGGATTTATGCGCCAATTTACCAGCTCGCGCGTGCAATGCGCAGCTACCTACCCCCCCCCCCAAATCATCGGTGAACGAAACTGAGGCAGCTACAACCAGTGTACGACGAGTACGCGGTTCTTAAAGCTGACAAGGATGGATGATCTCATCAACATGAGTTTCACAGCTGGCTCGCTTTACATCTGTAATGGAACAACAGCTGTTTTCCGTCGGTGCCCACTGTGAGCTCCTTGTGTGACTTCCACAGTGGTCTAGACGTCGATATCGCCTATATACACAAAGGTGCTGAATGTTAATTGCAGAAAGTCAAAGGGGGTTTGGTAGTTCTTGAAATGAGAAGCCCTGAAGTCGGAAAACCAAATGTCGTCGGTAGCTTGGCCGGTAGAATACCTGTCCGGTAAATGGAGTTGTCTTTTCGTCCACGCTGCGTCTGCCTAGATTTCTCTATCAAACCTCCCTTCAATTTCCAACAGTTAACTGAAACACTTCAATTTAACTACAAGGAACTTAGACACAGTCGTTTAAGCCTTACCAGTTTCATAAATGTGAGTCTGAATAGCAACTCACAACCTCCCAGCTGCCGGAACAGCAGTTATAGAGATAATCGTGAAGCTAGTGTGAAAGCGGAGCGAGATAGGAGCAGATGATGAGACAATGGGAGAAGAGCCCATGGAACGGACGGAGAGATGGGATACTCAGGGAAATTTGTGGTTAGGAATAAAAGGGGAAGAGGACTGCTCCATGGCGAACCCGATTGCTGTTATTATCAAAGGCCAGTTATTCAGAATTCTCGAAGCTCAAGCCACCGAAGATTATTTCTGAAGTGGGTCAACTGGGGTTTGGAAGTCGTGCTAATTTAGGTGCATCATTGCCGTTTGTTAAGGTGTACTCGCAATGCATGTTCGTTACAGTAGGGTGGATCAGATTTTTGCCAAACTACTGAAAATATGGGTACACCATCTGAAGAAGGCGGCATACCGAAGTCAGAGAGCAATGAACCGAGTAAGGTGTAGACTCTTTCGCCTGTTAACAGGAGGCTGAAGAAGGATAACGGGTTATTGATTAAGATAACATTCTCCTAACGTGCAGATGTTTCAGAGTCAGTGTGAGAGGCTCGTGAAAGCAAATCGGTCATTCAGATTTACTTGAAGACCGGTCATCCAATCCAAGCACTTGGGATGGCAAACCAGATAAGTATTCTGTAGGTCGGGCAGCGATAGAATGTCATGTCTATTGTGCGTCTTTCCTAGCATTGATTCTGGACTTGAGTTACCGTCACGAACTGAACGGGTGCGATCACTGACGATACGCGATGTGAAAACGGGCGTACAAATCCCCAGCTGTGACGCAAGCTCAACTACTCCTAGGGCAGAAAAGACTTTCGAAGGACAGCTTTTGCTATCCAAACCCAAGACAGTACAACTAAAGCAACGTCAAATATACATATTTTGAACGGCCTTGGAGAACGATAAATGTGTTAGCATACACAAAGTGCAACTTGCCAGTAGGGGAGAAGCGCGATCTATACGAAAAAAATGTGCACCACGGCGGGAATGGCGCGAGGAACCAAAATTCAAATTTTTGGAAAATAGCAATAGGTGAACGGATTTTGGTGACCCAACAATTATTTCACCCAGTCTTCTAGGTGATTCGGTGCTATACGATTATTGGCGTTCCTAGTTTATTATTACTTCATTTTTCCACTTTGTACTTTGGTGGCGCTTGGGCCAGTAATTTGGGGCTGGTTTATTGGTTCATTAAGTTGATGTCTCGAGGTCTCTTTATCGCCTAATTCAGACGACTGTTTCGAACAACCACAAAATTGGGTTTTTATGTGCAGAGCAATGCAAGAGAGCAATTCTTTGTCGACATGTTATACAGCATCACGCATGCCTACCAAGTTGTTTCACCTTGCACATTTGTTTCATTTTAGCACATCTGAATGACTTGAACGACCATGCCTACTCAGAGCAACCCGAAGGCAAGCGTTCTGGATTTGAAAGCCGATTTGTGTGACCTTGTCCGACAACGGAAGGCATTAACGGTTCGCATCATTTAAACAGTAAGGATTATACACTATTTGTAGGAGACACTTTCGGCTCTTGAGCGTCAAATCTACTTGTTCGAGGGAAGCTACCTGGATGACACTGCACCATACGGAAATATAGTTAAAGGGTGGGACAGGTACCTGCTTTCCACTGGTTCAAGTGGAGGAAGTGTGAGCAGTTCAAATTTGTCTGTCCCTCCACGCACTGCAGGTGATAAGCGTGCGCGGAAGTTCCGTGACTCTGATAGGTTGTTTTCCCGGTCATCCGTCACATCCATGGCCGTAAGTTCCCTGACTTTATTCATGCTTAATCTCCTACATTTCAGTCACTCAGCGCTCAAAGTGACACGAACAAAAGTAAGTATTCTTCACCAGGTTTTGAAAACCATTTTCAGTTGTATGTTTTCCGTCTCATTCCAAATCCGTTGTCCCTTTTTAGTCACCAAGCTTATTATGTACACGCGTCACTCGAAATCAGAACCGCCTTTGTGTGTTACGTATTTATTACCCCTCCCATGTTTCCTGTCTCGTAAGTCAAACCAGGATATAATGTTGGAACGGTAGCCTTCGCGAAGAGTATCCAAACAGCTTTGGGCGGGATGTTTTTTGGCATATTTATTACCCCATGTTTCCTGTCTCGTAAGTCAAACCAGGATATAATGTTGGAACGGTAGCCTTCGCGAAGAGTATCCAAACAGCTTTCTTTGGCGCCGAACGAAGTGCTCTCCGACTGTCGTATCTCCAGATTTTCGTTTACACGGAACCTGAAAGTCGAGTTGTTGAGTAACTGGAACTTGACTCACGGAAGCTGTGCATGGTGTTCTACTTCACAGACTATCAGTCCTTTTAAAAGCGTCCCTTTCAAGTTCAGGTAATCAGAATACTTTAGAACATCCGAGGCTGAGCCTTTCAGAATCATTTCACATCTATAAGGAACAAACTACTCATAAGATCCTGTCCAGTTCAACGGACAGACCAAAGACCTTCCTGGAAACTCTTCGAAAGCTCACGACCGGTCTCGCCCTCTCTGGGGCTCATCAGATTTCCCGTGTCTTCATCAAACTTACGTGTTACTTGAATCCAAATTGGACGAAATACGCCAAAAACTCATTTGCACACCAATTTCGTCTTAATGGGTGACCCGACTGAATCCATCTTATCTTTATGATGTTCTTCACATTTTACTTTTCTGTACTAAGTGCCGTTTAAGTAGTTTGTCTTTGTTGGTCTAATTTTGGCGTATGACTTCCGCGTTTCGGGACTACCCTTACACTAAAACTTGATGTTATCAAAGTGTGTCTGGGTGTGTACACAGGAAACTACCGAACATACAGTAGTAGAAGCTGTACTGTAGTGCTTCCCTAAATATTTCTTTCGAATGAAGGCATCCTCGTACAAGGTTAGTTAGTCACCTTCCAACCAGCTCTGGCATTCAATTGATTAGGCAAATAACAGACTCCCCTAAGGGAATCGCTAAATCTGTGTGCTTTTCACTTCGTTACTTCCTAACAAGGACCATATTTTTAGGGAATCGGAAACGTGGACACTACTGGCCATATTAGCTGATTAGTGTTTCGGTATGACGGATCAGAATGCTTGGCTGTATTGGTTACCTCCGGTGCGCATTCTTGATACCGACTGATGGCTTTGATGATTGAACTTAATCTACATAATGACAGTCCTGTGGCCTGTGTGTACCGCCGGAAATCATGGTCAACCTATTCTCTTTCTGAGTTAGGCTGACCCCAAATCCTAAAAACGTCTCTCGACATCATTTATAGGATATCTGGATTGAAAACAAGAGGCATCTCAATACGACAACTCCTCACATCCTCACAGGTGATTTTTTTTTCGCTGTTGGACAACTCACTGTGCACAAAAAATGATTCAGTCTACATGAGAAATCATAGGAAATGTGGCGTCGAATTAACCGTGGGCATCAGTTTTCGTCCAGTATGCAACTATAAGCCTCGCGCGAGCACGAACTTATTCCTCGCTCTGGCACATAGATGGTCCGTTTTGTAACTCGGTTGTCTTCAAACAAGTCATCTTGCATGAGTAAGATTAACGGATCCGCTTATTTAGGATATTTCAACGGTTTTTATATTTTATGTGTAAGGCATTTTGGGCATTTAGAACGGTGAAAATGCTTCTGTAGCACAACGGGTGAGGATATTTCACACGCATGGTTGGGTGACCTAGGGTAGATTTTTTAAAGTTCGACCTATCTATCTGTGTGCTGCTCCGGAAGAAACGTGGCTAATGTCACGACGGATCCTAAGTTAAAAGCAACAACAACGAAACACAACAGAACGGGGGAGATGCACGCGTTAGGCCTAGACAATTCTCGCGATGTCTTCCAGTCTGTCCAAAGTTGCCATACATGGTTGGTTGAATCCCACTCAAGAACTGAAGAGAATATCTGAGCCCCCCTGCTTCGTGCATGGCAGCTAGGCATCGAAGGGATGTCACAGTTAAACGATCATTAGACTCAATGGGATCACTTGGCTGACTCGAGATGAATATCGGGAACTACCTACCAGTTTTTCCGACTCCTTAGGGTGTCTTGGTTGTCTTCAGATTTTTAGGCGATTAAAAGACTGAAGAGCGTGTGGCCACGCCTCTTCCCGGTCAGTCAATTAATAACTTGGTATTTCCTTCAGTGGTGCGTTTATAGCATCCTACCGCTAGAAACAGCGAAATGGAAACGACACAAATAAGGTGTAGGATCCCTGGGCTTGGGACGTGCACCCTCGAGTGCGGAGATGTTTACTGACAAACACCAACTAAACAGTTACAGGCTGTCAGACACCAAAGTTAAAACCCCACTTGCACAGCGATTTTGAGAAGTTTGCATTCTTAAGCGTCCTGAACTTTCTAGGACGCTGACTTAACACTAAACAAACCTAAACGAACACTCTAAAGCGGTTGAATAATTTCCATGTTGACCTGCAATCAGACACGGACGGCGTTTTCACAATTGACGAGACACCACTTGCATGTTTCATCAGTGCTCTACGCCATTGCACCATTGATGTTTCTAGTAATAATAGTAACGCTACAGGTACAACAAAGCTTAATCACTGTCAGAGATGTTGACATCTTTAGGGTGTTACAACAAAAGGGGCAGCGAAGCATTCTTTTGGCGTCTTGAGGAGATCTGTTTTTCATTATACATTTGGGATGGCCTCCTATACTGGCTTTATTAGATACCCTATTTGGGTAGGGTCTTATAAGACTGTGTACATATTTTGATTTTCATATGTGTTTCCCCACTCATAAGTTGCGCCAGTTGGATCGAACAAAGTCTTCGCCTAGTTGAAGGTGTTCGCTTCTTGAGCAATAGGAAATTGAAATTTTTCGATCGCCCAAGAGAAAAAAGACCTCAATTAAGGAACTCCTCATTGAAAGCATTCTTGTTCTTTGACTTATGCACTCGTCCGCATACTAATTTGGTTTTCACAGGAGATTCGCTTTTAACCCAGCTAGATTTCTCGTTCATGGTGTTCTTAAGCAGAGTGAGTCTACTGTCAAAACCGAATTGGTATGCAGATGGGCGTATAAGTCAAATTTCGTGCAATTTGAGTTCACTTAGACCAAAAGCTTCACGGAAACCCGGGTATCGCACCTACCTGATGAGGTCGAAGAAGGGCGGATCCGGTGGTGGGCTGTTGAAGCGTTTTCAGCAACCTTATGAGTAATGTATTACTCTTCTTCACTAATCCTGAATCGTCCGACATCTTTTTCCAGCGGGAACCGACTCTTCTATATCCAATCAATTGAACACCGATCCTTATAACAGCGCTGCTGCAGACATCTTGTCGAACGGATATGGGACTCAACAATTCCCACAAACCAGCAAGATATTCCCCCATTACAACACAGGCCCTTCTGGGAAGAAGAAGAAGAAACAGCGATGAGAATAGCACCTGGTGCACCCCCTAACCTCATCCCTTCAGACAACTCATCCAGTAGGCCAGTTGTTTATGACCTCACATGTACAGTCCATGTTCACAACTACCCTTATTTTCGGAAGTTTTTATATGGCTGATAGTGGGATCTCATATATTCTACTTTTGTTCCGGGCAGGCTCAAATCAGCCGATATTATGCATCTGACGAGAACCCATAACTTCAGAAATCTGTTTGCGTGTTCTTTGAAAGGGGTATCCTACTGTGACCTTTTTTAAAATATCAGGGCCACAGTTCCTGTGGCGTAGGCTATGATCAAATCAGCACTGCAACTTAAACTTGATACCACGTTTGCATGTAATAACTGCCCGTGGTCATCAATCCAAGGTAAGCGGCTCATCACACGCTTCAGTTTCTCTGTTGTACAAACCTGACTTGTAGCGATTGTCTTGTCTAAAAACCAACTGTTCGTTCACCGACCGGATGTATTACGTGTTCATTGATCTGTAAGGTTGAGTACCTCCTTGTCACCTTGTCACTCCATCTGTTGTCGCTTATGGTACATAAAGCTCTGAAATACACGATTGTCTCATTGATCCACAAACGTTCCAGAAAGCCTTTGTGTTTCTCACTTAGGTGTTCCATTTATTGACAGTTATGGGTAAACTCCTGTCTGTCATTAGCGAAATACACTCATTTGCCAACGAATTTGGTTTTTCGAGAGACTCACCTGGAACCCAGCTGAATCTCTCGTTTGTGGTATTTCCAGGCATATTATATTCAATGATCACTACGTGCAAGGCAGTTTATTTTCACTAATTAATTTAGGTGGCTTAAGATTTGTGGATGAAAAAAAAACAGATTACATCCGGTTAATGCCGATAAACTTCACTTTGACTGGTACTCCATTCGCTTTCTTTATGAGAAAACACAACGGAATATTCATTCTAGGTGGTACTGCAGATACGCGTAATATGTGACCTACGAATTCGAGAAAGTACTTTTACAGAGCAATAATGAATGACCTTAAGTCGTGCACCGTGCTAATTATTATAGTATATCACTACGAGAATTAAAACAATCAAAAATTGGTCAAAACCTGCAGCTTTTCACACAGGATTGTTTTTTATGTTCAAAACTGGAACGACAAACAACGTTTTCACTTCCGGCCAAAATCTGTCTTTGAACGGAAAAAATTCATTGTATTCGTCCACAGGAACCTTTATGAGTTTTACCTGGGTTTGTTCTGATGTAACTGGTGGAATCTTGCATGCATACATTTCACTGTTCAGCGTTGGCGATGCTTTAGATAAAATATGTACTGAGGCGATCACTCACGGTTGTACTCCTTTGGTACTGCTCATATGACAATAACCAGTGGCCCTAATTCGCATACGGACCTGCTGGCGCCTGTGTTTCTGGGTGGAACGAGTGGATGGGGCCAGGTCTGCCCTTAGGTTACGATCGTTCCTTCACGAACCCTGGGTCTGAAGACCTGACATTATGTCTTATCACATTTCTGCAAGCAAAATACCGGTGTGTTACAGCGTACTGTTTGTCGTGCTGCTTCGATGTATCTTTTGGTTCTCTAAGCCGGCTTTAGTTTCGCCTTCGGCACGTTTTCCGGACCGCCTCTCGCCACTCTGGCGTTGTAAATGCGGCCTAGTATGTGCTTTTTGTGGAATACTTTCTCGGATCCTGTAGACGATTTCTCTAAACTGAGGATTATGAGCGGCTACTTGAGTACAAAGATAAACGGCTCAAACTGCTTACCTTTCACTGTACGCAACTTTTGCCATCTATAAACCTCAGGCAAGACGCAGCATGCTGTTCACATTTCTGTGGAACACAAAAATGACATAAATTTTCCGTCATGAAGGGAGCAAGCCTTACCGTGGTATGGTGGTTTGTGCACTGAACCCTAATGCGAAGTGTACGTATGGTGCTCATACCAGATTTTTCAGTGGATGAAGGTCTGTCTAACACAGTTTCCCGGTCCTTCAATGGAGGATGGTTGGAACATGTGTGGCATCGTATTCCTCAAAAATGTGGGCTACTCTGGCGGTACCTCACAGTTATGCTTTTGAGCCAAAGACTGGTTGAGGACCCTAATTGTCCTTCTATCTAGGTCCGGGCGCCTTGGTAGTGTCCCAGGCAACGTACTAACAGTGGTTCCACACTCACAAATGGCCACATCGGCCGTCGCTTGACACCATCAGTCGGGTCGTGTTACTGTTGCATATAGCAGGGCGAGTAAGCGGAAACATACTACTGCTGACGCCTCCCTTGTTCCTCTTTCACATATTCGTTCTCCCACTCCTCATTCCGTTGTTGACGACATATTTGTAGGCTCTTTCTTAGGGACTGATAGATCCGTTCGCTGCATCTTGCCGTTAGCTGCAATGTCCTCGACTGCCTCGGGAAACATACTATGACGTTTCCCTTGTTCCTCTTTCACATATTCGTTCTCCCACTCCTCATTCCGTTGTTGACGACATATTTGTAGGCTCTTTCTTAGGGACTGATAGATCCGTTCGCTGCATCTTGCCGTTAGCTGCAATGTCCTCGACTGCCTCGGGCACCATGGCCACAGACACTTCTAAATCACTCTTCAAACCCCGACGCTCAGTTCATCTAGAAACCTTCAATGTTCACACTCCGAAAAAAACTGGACAGCAGATTGCCCCTGCATATACCGCGGGCATGCTTTCTATTGATGCATGCTGTCTGTCTGTAACAAGAACTCAAGGCCCCATCGGTTTCCTCTCGATTGCGCACCTCTGTGTTTCGTGTGGCAATTTCTGTGAGGTTATCCCGTAAACCGTTGATGACCGTTGCCTGTTCGTCTTATCTGCTTATGCAGATTGCAACACACTGCGAGTCTGATACTCTCAGACAGTTTTTGAGGCTTTTTGGGCACCTTGGTGCGGCGCGCTAAGAGAAAGTTGCCCGAAGTGATCCAGTCCTTTGGCCCCTGCTTCGTGCTAAGTCATACTGCACGACGTGCAGTCTGAACATGTCAAAGATTTCAAGGGGTGACACTGGTGGTTGGGAAACTCTACGTATTTTAGAAGTTATTTTATATCTGACGGTCGTGTGAAATACGAAGCGAACGCACCAATATCGAAGGCCAGAATTGCGTTTGGGCAACTCGCGTCACTGGTTGCATGAAGAAGCATCTCGCTGGGTCCCAAATTACGCCCATATCAGACTACAGTACGGGCCTTATCGTTGTTTTGCTGGGGTTTGGTCACTTCGGAGATCTGAGACATCTTCAATTTTTTGGCCATCGGTGTCTCAAAACAAGTTGGCCTCAGCGAATTTGTAATGAGATGATCGAGAAACCGGTCTCTGGTTTAGGTAAATTTAGTTCTAAAGAATGTGTGCTGTACGGCGAGCTAAGGCTGCTGGGACATGTGTTACGTATGCCGACTTACCGCCTGCCTAAACGAGCACCGTTTTGTGTGCCTCATTAGGAGTGGCGAAAACCTAGAGGTGGACAGAATTCGACATAGCTGACGGGAGTGAAGTATCTTACGAAAAGTTTTGGTGGGGTCCAGTTAACCCAACCTATGCTTGGCTGGAGACATTGAACAATATATCGGTTGTCTTCATGCTCTCATTCTCGAGATTATCTGACATTTTTGTGGGTGTAGGCACAGCGGATGATCGTGGTAAGCTAGCCCTGGGTCCTCCTCTCTGCCCCATTTTTCCAATAAAAGATTTATTAAAGTGAGTCTTGCTGTGAGTCATTGCATTATTTTCGAAATCCCTCTGTGGTGAGATAAGGTCTAGCATCTCGTATTTGAGCCCAAACGCTGCCACAACAGAGCTGTGTCCAGTGTGGTGGTGGAAACTTATTTCGTACCTCGTATTCCACCGATTGTGTACACAGGTCACAGTTACTGGCTTGTCTGCTTTATTTCAGTCTGTTCGTGTGATGTTTGTCAAGTGTATTTTCCCGTAATTCGAATTCTTACTGTCTGTTTGTGATAAATTGAGGAACGAAACATCGTTCACGCGTACACAGTTGTTTTATTTGATCTTTTTAATTATTGTATTGTCTTAGGGTCATTCTTCGGACGTTGTCCAATTTCTGGCTTGTTTGTCCCTGGACACTGACGCCTAGCTTCGTACTTGTCATTCATCTGTAGAGGACTTGATTTTCCGGTCTGACTGATATGCAACGTGTTGCATCTGCTGAGCGAACAGTTACCGCTCAGGCTCATGATCAAATGTGACCGAGTTGGTTGAACTTGGGTCTACTCTTTTTGGGTCTTTCCGGTGTTGGGCTAAACGACCAAGCTGTGTGGGATTTGAAATATGGCAAAACCCCGATACTCGGGGATGCAGTCCTGAAGAGATTAGGCAGGCACCGTTCCCCGTCGGTTTTTTATGGGATCCTTCTTCCAGCACGTGTTACTTCGCACTACGGCGCGGCCACTGGTCACAACAACCGTCCTGAAGATTTATCTAATCGATCGACTTTTGAAGAGTTCATAACACGAACCGAGCTGATGAATCAATTTGCTTCGCACAGGGATGGTTGTTAATAAAGTTTTTTTTTTGCTGAACACAGATAGCTGCTAACCACGTGACTGTGATTCAGTTGTCTGGTGACTGGGAGGCTGAAAGACAGTAGACTTTTTGTCCTGTTAGTGAAACTAACGTACTCTCTTCGGCAAACGATGGTTCGGCATACGTAACACGTCCCAACCAACACAGGTTTTAGTGCTGGACACAGTGTTCAACGGAAGTACCCGCTTTCTAATTGCCGCCACAGACTCACACAAGCTATGGTTCTGAGACAACGATTGTCAAAACCTGAAGACATCTCAGGTCCGCTGCTCGAACAGGCCGAGTTTCACCCCTATGCAACAAAGCAGCCCGCACGGTATCCTGGTACACAAGTTCCTTGAGATTCAGAGACATACCGTTTTGACCCCATAGGTATCGCACATTAGCAAATTCTACCCCACCCTTGCAGATTCGTGCATTGATTTAATCTGTCACAATTCGGTCTGAACTAATATGCCTTTCAAGGCACGTAAAACGCTCCTTAGCTCCGTATGTCTACACCTAGATTGTTACTGGTGTGTTTAGTGAGTGCATACCCAAGAGCACTTTGTGGGTGCAAAGTATATACCAGAGGAGGGATGAGTGGTCAGTTCTCCCAAAAATACCTGCGCCATCTCCTCTTCGAAGACGAGAACGATATCGTCCGCGTATTCCAGGTCGACAAATTTTTTTTCAGAGGCTATTTGAATATCGGGGATGGTCTCATCTCATCGACCACGAAATTAAGTAGAATTGGGCACACCTGACGAACACCGCTTTATGTACGGAGGCTTTTTGATAGCTCCCGGTATACCACCACTTCCGGAAGTCTGCGGATACAACGAACTTCTGATGTCCATGAACTTCCGGGACATTCTTTGACGGGCGAACGTGTTTAGAAAAATAGATCGGTTAGAATAGTAGAATGCACCTAAAATTTTGGGCCGTTTATACGTATGTCGTTGTTGTAGCACCTGATGGTGTGAAAGATTTGGTAAGCGCAATCTCTACCAGGCCGGAGTCCCGCTTAC